GCCCCTAATCATTAAAATTTTTAAAAGGTCAAATAGTCTTTGCTATATTCATTTGGATTTTTTCAATAGATATAGATAACACAAAATTACAACTAGATTAATGAAACTAATTCCACATTTTTAAAAATAAACTGAATGAAAAGAACAAAATAATGCCAGGTAAAGCATCAATGTAAGTCGAACATTTGTTTAAAATAATTAAATATTTTGAAACAATTTTCCAGAATTACGGATTGATAGCAATCACGATCTCAGGAATGTTACTGTAGATATGTTTACCATAAACCAGCTGGGATGATAAACAAGAGACATGAAAGCTTGAACAATACAGGAGAGTGTGTCAAAGCAGACAGATGCACTGACAAGAAGGATCATATTCATAGCTCTGGATGCTGGGGAGGATCTGGAGGACACCTTGGTCCTGTGCGTGTTTGCCTGCTCTCTTTTGTCTGTATAGTAGGGCCCATGGTCCAAACATAGTCAGGGCCTGTGTTGATAAACAGGGCCCGTGTTGCCATCAAGGGCCACTGGGACAACCAGGGTCTGGGCCTTCACCTAAGGCCATGTTAGTGTCTGAGGGCTCTTCCACTGCTGGGACTATACAGATCTGAGTTGCCTGTCCTGCCACCTTTGGGCATGGTGCCACCTGGGTCTGGGCTGCTGTCTGGGTCCATAGCCCTGCCACAGCCTCCGTCTGTGTTGATGTCCTTGGCTCCTGTTACCACTGAAGACAATGAGGATAGGGCTGCGAAGACTCGGACCTACCTAAACCAGTTTCTGTTCTAGAAATGATCCTGCCCCCTCCAGCTGCTGCACTTGGGAGAGCCAGAGGGCGCTGAACCTCCCCTGGGCAGCACAATAGAGCTGACCCTGTAGGTGGGGGCGAGGGTGAGATGGCCCCGAAGGCATGAGTGGGAATGGAAACCCCACATTCTGTTTGTCACATGTTGACCTGGGAGAGGAAGAGATGCTCCCCTTGCCCCTCGCTAACTACTGCAGGTAGGAAAGCTGGTCCCAGAGGCAACAGACAGAATGGGAGAACCGACCCTGCATCTCACTGGCTGCTGCACTCAAGAGTGGGCCTTGCACCTTGCTGGGGCAGCACAACAGAGCCGACCTTGTTGATGGTGGGGGGGGGGCGCAGGTGGCCTGGTCTCTCGAACATATGTGAGACCTGCCCTCCCCCTCTGCCATATGGTGGAATGGGCAAGGGAGAGATGGCTTCCCCCATTCCCTATCCCGTGACACCAGTGATGGATGGGACAGCTAGCCCTGAGATCATGAGAGTGAGAGAGCTGATTCTGTCTCTCACCAACTGCAGCACCATGGAGATCAGGCCCTGCAACTTCTCTGGGCAACACAATAGGCTGTCCTTGGAGGCTGGCCCTGAGGGGGTGA